ACCAACATCGTTTGCATGGAAAGTCCACACAGTATAAGGGATGAACTGAACGCCAAAATCCACCAAATCCTTTCACTCCAATGCCGTCTTCGGTCGGTCAAGTATCGAACACCATGAATCGTGGTTTTTTTGCAAAATTCACTGAACACCTCTCGCACCGCCTATTGAAAATCAAGGGAATTGTGATAAAAATTGGAAATTTTCCATTATGAGAATAATTCGATTGTTTGCAATAGCCTATTTCACCAAATTTTTTCATGAGAAGTTTTCATGAGATTTTCTTCTCAAGTTTTTTTGGTCAAACAAATATATCCAAATGTAGCAATGTGAAAATCTCAATAAAAACATGAAAATATTCTCATTTTTTGACATTATTTTGAGCGCCAACTTGAAGTTTCGAGATTTTTTCACAAAAATGTGAGATCACATCATGGTTGGCTCAAAAATAAATGAAAATTTAAAATTTGCGCTCAAAATAATGTCAAAAAAATGAGAATATTTTCACGTTTCTATTGAGATTTTCTCATTGCTACATTTAGATACATTTGTTTCACCAAAAAAACTTGAGAAGAAAATCTCATGAAAATTTTTCATGAAAACATTTGGTGAAATAGGCTGCAAATCCATTCCAAGCGGACAACAAATAATGCAAAATTAATGTTTTCATATGACTCTTACTTCGGCTTTAGTCTGCCTGTGATCTCTATTCGGGAAAATATTCTTCATTTTCAGCTTTTTTCGTTCACTTCTATCAAGTTTGTTGCTTCTTTTTTACTAACGAAAACTTTTCCAATGCTTTTCTACACACATTCTCTGAAGGACAGTTCCTTCTCACGCAATACACAACCAGATACTAGAAGATTTCTTTGACCGATTTTCTTTTACTATGTTTAAATAGCACATAAATGTGTCATGGTCTTTATTCGAATTTTCTCAGAAATTCAATGCGATTTTATCAATTTGACACATTTTCCGAATTTATCCACATTTCATCTTCAATCTGTATTGAATCAATTAATTGATACATCAATTAAATTCAAGAATATTTCAGTATTGAAGCATTATTTAGTTAAAAAAAATGATTAGAAAATCTAATGTTAGATTATCTAAGAAAGGCCACTTGGAGGCCAAACATGTACTTGACGGAACAATGACCATAAGGAAATTATATAACGAGTGCTTAGTGTGATTGACAAGATATCAGATCACACCTGTGCCCAACTAAAAGATTCTTTTTTTTTCCTCAAGATCTTAACTAACAATTTATTTACTCCAATCAATAAGAGAAACTTGAATTTCATATTTCATGTAGAATTCTTGGTTAAATCAATGAAGCAATGCTCACGGCTATGCAACTTGTGCTTTTGAGCGGCGCGAGATAGCGGTAGCGCCTAATTAGACAGCGTGTTTGATTGTCAGAACTACATGACATTCTGTCAACGTTCCTCAATTCAGCTTCTTTAGGTACTCTGTGTAAATGTGTTTTTTATTTTAATAAACATCCAAACAATTTTTTTCAATAATGATCATTATGGTTCGAACCAAAACGATATATTCAATGTTGCTTAACATACTTCACTTGCGTTTTGGGGAAAATGTGTGAAAATTTTAAAACTTACTTGAAGAATGAAATATTTTCCAAAAAAGTACCAAATTCATGTTCACAAAATTTAATTTTGCAATATCGTTTTGTGGGCATTTTCATAAAAATATAATTTATTCAATAACGAAAGAGAATATAAATGTGTAACAAGCACGCTGTGTGCGACACTTATAACTTACGTACCATTGCGAAATAGTTTGAACTACTAAATGTCAAATATTTAAATTCGCGCCGCTGAATAGTTGCTAAATATACCGCAGATCCTATTTAGTCGCTACCGCTATTCACTGTCACGTCAAATACATTGGTTCTTATGGGAGAGAAGCACAGGTTGCGGCTATGAAATCCATACTGACGACAACATTTGACCTGTGACCAATAGAGGCGGTCATACACAAAACACACGTTGAGCGGACAATATATACACACAATACAGACACGCTAGCATAGGGTTTATACAGTTTGCGCGAATGGCTACTTGATTATTGGCCATGTACACTGTACACGCTTATGTGATTGAAATCTTCAACTATCACCACAAGCGTCGTGTCAGTAGAGCTCGTCTTATGTTTACATGGGAAATACGTGTTATTGTTGTTGTGGCTTCATCGCCGTGGCAATGCTTGACGCGCACTGATTATGCCGTTGAAGCGCATTTATAAGAAGGTGTCAATCTCTCTTCGAAAATGTTGTCACAGCTTTGCTGAACAAAATGAGCGTCTCGGGGCAAACGACACATTTGTTTTTTTTTGAGTTCAATGATTTTTTTTTTCTGAAATCTCAAACCCAGACATAAATTTCAATGAAAGAACCATCCGCATTTAAAAGTTTTCTACACTATTTTCTTACACCTCGTTTCCATTCGCATTTAGTTTCCATTACATTAGATACACTTGCAACGAACTTTGACCGTTGAAATCCAATGGAAGTGGAGAATAGTGTAAAGCTGTGGGAAGTTCTTTGTACGAACTGTATTTTCTCACCAAAACTGTTGGATCGAACGATTTCTACATGATGGACATGCAAACAGTCGCACTTCTTGCAAAACAACCGTTTGGTTTTCAATTCATTAAGAAAAAATCATGGTTCAATCAAAACATTTAGTTCAATTTATTCAAACAGTAGATAGATATTATTCTTCAAAATTCTTAGTATTCAATTCAACTTTAATTCACCGAACGAGCCGAAAGAGTTTTTTAGACGTTGCTCGAGAAGTTGTGTACATATAAATACAAACATTCACGAGTTTCACTCCATTTGTACGCATCAGTGATATGAACAGTGATGCGAATGAAGAAAAAGCTATAATGCCATTCAAAGTACATACAACATCTGCGTAAAAGTGTGTACACGTGGAATAACGTCTAGAATATTCTTTCGGGCAGGTGGTATATGATTCAAGTTTATTTAACTATCAAAACGTGTAAGATGTCACTCAACAAACTATGTTTGCAGAAAGGTAATAATTGAATTTCACTTTGCGCAGATACAAATCAAAGTGTGAATAATTCTTCAAAAGCAAACACAATATATTTTTTTCCTCATTTTGGGGGCATATTTTGTTCTTCAATAGGAATGTTTCTTCAATATGAAAAGCATAGTTGCAAAAACGAGAGTTTAGAGAAGCTGCTCTGACATGGAAATGTCTACATCACCATGTTGCAAATACACACGTTAGGAATATCTTCACTTCGGATGCACAAATATTGTGCGGAGAGGAATGGCTCCTTTTAAATCAGAACTATTCCTTGATCGGCAATTCTCATTGGGCATATCAATAAAAACGCTGTTGATGTATTTCCTTTCAAAAGGAATCACTTTATGTTCCGATTTCCAACGCCGAACTGACCAGTACAGCCGAAGCGTTGAGTAGTAAATGAACTCGATGATGCTTAACATTGAAATGCCCAAAAATAGTCCAAGCAATCCGCCGCAATTTGCAATGAAATTAGTTGTTGTATACATTTCGGAACGCATCATTGTGGTCACCTCATGATCACGGAAGTAAATCTCCAAATTTGACGGTTGTGTTCTGAAAAGTTGAAGACACTATCACAGAAAAATTCAAGTAATTCACGAAAAAAGAGAATTGTCAAGCTCGGCGGCACATATCTCGACTGCATTTGGGGCAATTAGTTAAGCTGGCGAGAATAAATCTACGGCTTTTTACGGCGACGACGGAACAAATGAGCATCAAAATGCAAAATTATAATGATGTTTCACATAGTTGTGTCCGTTTTTATACACTGTTTTACGAAATTACATGGATTCATTCTCATCTACTGAACTGGCATACACTTTTTTTAAATAAATGCACAATTTTAACTCACCCAAACATTTCATGAAAATGAAAACGATTCGAAATTTGTGATTCGACCCAATTGAGTTTGGCTCGGTCAATATCAGCACTATACTTAACCTGAAAAGTGGAAAAACAAGGAAGATAAAGCGATCAATTCGACGGTGTGTGCAAAAACACAGTGTGATTATGTACGTAAGTGCATGACGGTAAACACTGGCACATTTCACGAAATGCCTTAGCTGTATCATTGTTTGAACCATCCGAGTCTCCATACAGTTTCCTTTCTGCGGATTGATAGCATTGAATTGAACTGACACCGCAGATGTGGGTACGTCTCGTACGAGGCATTGAAAATTTCACGCAACCACATTCGATTCGTGTGAAGTTTGCCAAACATTCCAGCTCACAATTGTTTTGGGTGTACATTTTGAAAAAGAGCAGTTGACGCTCAAAATTGTAGAAGCACTGTCGTTCCTGCGGTTTGTACGATAGCAATTTATCTGAGGTGACTATAAATTTCGGTATGATCGAAATTTGAACAGCTTCGGATAAAGGAACGCGAAAAGAATGTCGTGACGCTGGCTGTACTTCACCAGGTACATGCAAAAATAATTTGAATCCCGGAATCAATCCTCGGCATCTGTACTCAATATCTTGTCCTATAATTGGTTAAATGACACCATGAATCCATTTTAATTCATTGGAAAGACAGATTTTAAGTGATAAAATCGAATCCTACCGAACAATTGAAGGAATATTGTCAAAGAAACGCTGTGCTTTACATTGAATACACGTATTGGATATCCTCTTTGATTACAACCTGGCGGATATCCATTCTCCAGACTCCAATGGGATACATTTGGACTATTTTTCACGATCATCATTTCTGGAGCCATTCTAAGGTCATGAAGATTGATAAAATGTTATGAATTAATTAAAAGACGGTAATCAGATTGTTTCTTTAATTGTTTATTGTCTAGCAAACACTTACGCATCCGTGTAAATTTCATCTGAATTCAAAGCATTAAAAGTGAAGCAAAGGCCTTCATCCGTTATGGTTGGTGAGAAATGCGACTCACAATTTTCCATTTGAAGGTTCCACGAACAGGAAACAATGACACTCGTTAAATTTGGCGCTATATCCTGAATTATATCGTAGATCGATGTGTTTGTGAATTTGTTGCCATACCGAACGTATTCCGGAAAATTAAAACGGCACAAATGACTGAGAGCCTCCAATTGGACCCATCTAAAACATGGCATTTGAAGTAATTTAAATAAGAGCGACAATAATCGTTAATGTTTTATATCGATCGAAATGTCCGTTCTACCAACTCAATAGGAAAAATGGAATAATCCAATCAATTTTTATCGATAAAAAAAAACCATAACTTACTGTTGATTAGATAATTTCCATGGATTTGATTCCATCAAAGAGTCATAGACTGGATTAATTTCAAATTTGTTTTTGAATGCTTTCGTTTCAGGGCAAATGGTGACGGTTGGAAATGGAATCGCTGAAATTGGAGCATCTTTTTCATTGAAACTCATTGAAACGGGACAGGCACGCCATTTTATCCACATATCTTGAATCGATACCAAACAATACCAGAACGACAAGCCAATTGCAATGAACCAAAAACAGCGTTCGGTCCAATGTCGCCTTCGTTCGGTGAAATATCGAACACCATGGATGGTACTGTTAAAAGTAGAAGAATTTGAAACAAATTCTTCTTCATTTACTTTTCATAAGGTTGAGTGAAAAGATTTGATAGTACCTGTTCGAACAGAATTCTTTCAATACATCTGCAATGACCTATGGAAAAGCCAAATTCAAATTTTTTAATTTTCTTTCCTATTAAAATCGTCTTTTATTATTTGCAAATTAAAACTAACCAAATAATGTCTAATTGAATAGTAAAACATGGCAATGCAAGAACAAATTATTAGAACTAAACATTTACCTTCGGATTGGTCCAATACCTTCCCTTGAAACCATTATGTTCATTTGCCATCAATCTCATTTTATGTAGCAATTTGCTCTGAAAATACGTCAAATGCAGTTCAAAGTCTTGATGATACAAAACTTCCATTTGAAACGCGTCCGATATTTGTCCTTTGGCTATAACGACCATTGGCTATAATAATTATGACCATGACATTCATCAAATGATGAAAATAATTGCAAACTACTTTATTTTTCAAACACAATTAGGGAAACACTTCATTTGTTTTATTTTTTCTAATACAATTTGTAATAAAACAATCATTTTTGCCATTCTTTCTGCATTAACTCTATTAATTCGAAACTCAAGTGGGTTACTTTGTTGGAAAGCTAATTATTTGAAACTAACTCTAATTTTATTAATGCATTTCAGTCAAAGAACACTCATCACATTAATGATGGTCGATTCAAACGAAAAAAATCGATAAAATCATTCGATTTGTACCTAAAAGTTCTCGAATACCAATTCCAAAAGGGTTTTCAAATGAAATTTTGTCCAATTTTCTTACTGAAAGTTGCACAGGTGATTCAATGCATTCACTTGAGTCATTCTGTGGTAAGGGTAACACATTCGAAGTAGTTTAGTATAATTTATTTCATTTCAACCGTTCATTCCCATTTCAACTACTAGACTCACTCAATGTCCGATAGATTCAATCCCAACTCAAACAGCGTATGGTACGCGGTAGTTAAATTCAATTTTTCCGCTTTTACTTTCGTTTCAGGGCAAATTGTAACAGTTGGAAATGGAATATCTGACACCGTAGTATACTTATCGGTGGAAGACATGCTGACTGGGCTTTCATGCCATTTCATCCATATATTCTGTATCGATAACCCACAGAAGTAGATTGATAAACCAATGTGTGGCAGAATTGCCGAGTAAAGCGCGAGCTGAAGAGAAAACACACGAATTTATCTTTTTGTTGATTTGCTTTTTATTTGAATTTGTTGAAAGTGGAGTGGAAGCGATTTCAAAGATACGATGCGCGAATAAAACTAATTGAAAATTATAACTAAAAAAAAATGAATTCAATTTGAAAACGAATCGATGAATTTTTGTTGCGAAACTGTTCGCTGTAATTTTGCTGTGATTTGTCGAGCAACTTGTCGTACAAATCCAGCTGGCACTTGCCTAAATTGCAAAGCGAATATCAGATCGGCTGTTCAACTTGAACTGGCTAATTTCAATATTCGGAAAAACTATTTCTGCTGCTTCGCTGAGATGTCGATTTGCTAACGATAAAAATGACTCTGAATTCGGTTCGTTTTTAAACACTCTCATTACCTAAATCTATGCGATGCTGACACGCATACTTACAAAATGCAATGTAAAATTCATATGAAATCGCTTCCGTAACAAATTGCTTAAATAATATTTGCATGACTGAAGAAAGAACTCAATACACTACCGTTGTCGTCCATGTCTGCGAGCCGAAAGAAAGTGCAAAATGAGATGTACGTTTTGGTGTGCGGCTTACAGACATACACAACTGAATCGAGTGTTCGTGCTGAATATTACAATACAATAGGTCATGAGTGTGAGCGAGAGGACAAGATGTGCCCATGAACGAATGATGCTTGACGCACACACTCTGATTTCCTAACAAATACAAAATGACTTAAATCTACACAATATTCTCTCCGGCGTTGAGCGGATCACAGCTCAAATCTTCATTGTCCAGAATTGGTAACAATCCCAAGCGATGAATTGGTCTCCGCAAAATCGTCCCTTTGCTTCTTACGTCGACTGTTCTTATCAACCCGTCCTTAGCTGGAAATACTGCCTCAATCTTACCAAATGCCCAACGACTCGGTGGCAAATTGTCCTCTGAAATGATAACCACTTGACCGACCTTAACATTTGGTTCGGTTTTTTGCCATTTCTGTCTGGGTTGCAGTTGATGCAAATATTCGGATGACCATCCTTTCCAAAAATCAGTGTACAACCGATACAAAAATTGGTACTGATCGAGCCTGTTCAATGGAATGTGGTTCAAATCTGGCCGAGGCAACGAGGTAATCGGCTGGAAATTGAAAAAATGACTTGGTGTGATGACTTCGATGTTATCTGCGTTAGGAGTGAGCGCCCACAAGGGTCGGGAATTTAAACAACATTCGACTTGTTTTAATACGTAATCGAATCGACGTGCTGTTAATTTAGTGTCCTTAAGCCCACAGCTCTTGTTCATGCGGAGAAATCCATCACTATGAACAAAATGGTTTAAATTACGAATGGTGCTATTACCGGGCAGACCCTTTTTTTTGTTAATACGTCCCATTTCATGACCGAAACTTTCCAATTGAATCATCTTTACCCATCGATTTTCTGCCGTATTTAACTCGCAAGCCGTGATCATAGGTTCGAATGAAACGGATTTGTTTATGGTTTTGGTACGCCAACGCATTGCGTACGCCGTGAATCGCAAAAGACGTGGAAAAGTATTCCAACACGTAATTGTGCTTGGGCTCGTGCACATGATGAATTTTTACAGCGCGTTTCTTTTCTGGTGCTGTGTCAATTGGCAAATTATAATTTTGTGACGGACATTGTTCGGAGGTCGAAAATAAAAATTTCGGACCATTCCACCACAGCGAAGAATCTTTCAATTCATTGATTGACATGCCGCGAGAGCCAATATCAGCTGGATTCAGTTTCGTAGGAATATGCAACCAGTTTCCGGCTTCGCACGTTTGTTGTATTTCACTCACACGATTGGCTACAAACGTTGACCATTTGCTTGGGTGTGTGGAGATCCACGCAAGAACGATTTTTGAGTCACTCCAAGCTTGAATTCGACAGTCGCTGAGCGATAGCGCTTGACAACACCGACGCAATAATTTGGCCAGCAACACAGCCCCACATAATTCCAACCGTGGGATTGTTACTGCACGCACGGGAGCGACTTTAGATTTTGCAGCGACCAAATTACATGATGTTGTTCCATCTTCGTTCGTGACACGTAAATATACACATGCATCGTACGCACTGTTCGCAGCATCGCAAAAGCCATAAATTTCTACATTTAAATCTCGATTGGATAATCTCAACCAACGAGGTATTTGTATCGGTATTGGTGCGATCAACTCAGTTACAATAGGCACCCATTGTGACACAATGTGGGCAGGCAATTCGGAATCCCATTCAATAGTTCGAGGCAAATGCCAAATGTCCTGCAATAATATCTTTGCTCTGATTATACACGGAGCAAGCCAACCTAAAGGGTCGAACAACTCTGCCACTTCAGACAAAATTTTCCTTTTTGTCCAATTCACAGCTTGTATGGTCTCAGATGGTTTGAACACAAAAACATCGGAACTCGGTTGCCATGAAATACCTAACGTTTTTAAAGTTGAATCGAATGCTAGTGGTTCTTTGTCTACACAATCAACATTTGCAAGCGTACGTTCATCATTTGACTTCCATTTTCGTAAACGAAGACCGTACTCGGCTAGTGTTTCAGTGAGAAACTCTCGCATTTCGACCGCTGACTCGATGCTAGTAAATGACTTCAAGAAATCATCAACGTAAAAACACTTTTGGATCATTTCAGCGAGCTGTGCATTTGTTTCCTTAACGTGTTCTCCAATCTCATACACACAACGAATCGCTTGAAATGGTGCACTGCTGGTACCGAACGTAATCGTCAACAATCGGTATTCTTCAATTGAATCGGTTCCAGGGCGTTGCCACAAAATTGTTTGGAAATTCGCATGAATTGGATTCACCCAAAACATTCGATACATTTTCTCAATGTCACCGGACAATGCAAATTCATATTTGCGCCACTGAATTAACAATTCAAACAACTCGGGCTGAATAGTTGCTCCGACATACAAATTATCATTCAATGACATACCGTTGCTGCTTTTTGCCGACGCATCGAAAACATTTCTCACCTTTGTTGTGCTACTGGTCTCCTTCACTACATAATGATGTGGGAGAAAATACTGTAGTTCAGGACGATTTTCGACTAGTTCCATGTGCGCGAACGTTAAATATTCCTCCAACACTTCGTCGTACTTTATCTTTAGCTGTGGATTCTTTTCAAGACGACGTTGCAATGATTTATACCGTTTCTCAGCGAATGAACGAGACTCACCAAAACAATTCCCATTCAAAGGGTTCTTTTTGAATGGCAAATCAACCACAAATTTGCCGTCGGCGGTACGTTTGACTGAATTTTTGAATATTTCTTCAGCCATTTGCTCATCAATAGTGAAATGTCGAGTGTACTTCACTTCCTCCAATTCCCAAAATGCTTTCAATTGCTCACACAACTCCTTTTCTGAATCTAATTTGTCGTCAAGTGTGGTTAGACGGCAGAACGTTGCGAACGATTCAGTCACATCAATGTGTCCAGACACAATCCAACCCAATTCTGTACGTTGTGCGATTGGCTCATTTCGATTACCTTTTACAAGACCGTCCATAATGATGTCGCCGTGTGCAGCTGAGCCAAGAAGCATGTCAACATGATTTGCTTCATAAAATTGTGGGTCAGCTAGTGGCAAACCGATCAAATGTTTCCATGCAGAAGTTTCCTCCTTTTTTACACCATTTACTTCACCGATGCTTCGAACCACAATAGCTATTATAATCAATTTGAAATCTGGATTATGAACTGAACCAATTTCAAAACGTGCTCTCCCGATGACACAGCCGACGGGGGTATTGCCAACACCAAGCATCGCTGACTTATTCCGAGGAAAACGCAAATTCAGTAAACGACAGGCTCGTATTGTTATCAAATTTGCTGTTGACCCCTGATCAACTAATGTTTTGACTACAACTGAACGACCTTCGCAACGCACCGGCACCATAGCAGTGGCCAATAACGCATCGTCATCGTCTTTTATATGATAAAAGTGATGAGCTGACAATTGGCTTAATGTATCGTCCGATAAACCATTTGTTTCCGATGACTCTTGCTGTTCGAATGAATCATTGATTCCACTGGCCATGTTCAAATACATTTTTTGGCCATCCAAATGCAATAAGGTGTGGTGAGGTTCAGGGCATCGTTTACACGCAGGGTTAAACGGGCAATCGCGTACTGCATGCGGATAAAAGCAATTATAACAAAGATTGTTCTGTTTCACAAGAGTATGTCGTTCCTTAGCTGAAATGCGCACGATTTCATCACAACGTGACGGCAGGTGATTTTTTCCACACAAAACGCATTTGTACTCAGCCTTAAGTGTGAAGAAACTTCGGGCGTTTTTGTCTTTGTTGTTATGTGCGAATGAATTTACCTTTTGCGGTGGCTTGACAAACGATTTCTGTTGTTTTTCAGACTGCCCCGGCACTTGATCGTTACTGTCCATTCCAGATCGAACGATGATACGCGTTTCGAGAAATTCCAAAAAAGTTTTCAAGGGTGGAATCGTACGCTTACCATTTAATTTTTCTTCCCATATTTCAAGCGTGGACACATCGAATTTTTGTGTCAAAACAAATATCACAATAGCATCCCAACTCTGTGTATCGACGTGACAGCTTTGAAGAGTTGCCAACAAACCGTTCGTTACATTTAACATGGCTCGAAACGCTTCAGCCGACGGCGTTGTGATTGATGGAAGGTCGAAAAACTTACGTAATTGGTCATTGATGATCTTTCGGAAATTTTCATATCGATTTTGAAGCAGTTCCATTGCTTTATCATACGCGCCTTCGTTTGGCATTACAAAACCTACAAGATTTCGAGGCTCACCGATTAAAGCATCCTTTAAATGCTGAAGTTTTTGAAAGTCTGGCATATCTTCGGTCAAAACCTTTGAACAAGTGGCTTTGAATTCAATCCAATCACCCGAATCGCCAGCAAAAGGAGTGATACGTACTGGTGGTAATTTGCAAGCAGGCTTCGGTCGCCTTTCTTCAACCAGAGGATTCAAAGTCGAGTTATGAATATTACCTACCGGCGGAACTGCGGCTAACAATTTGTGCACAAGCGTTTTTGCTGTAAGAAATTGAGAATGAATGGCGATGAATTCATCAGTAATTGTTGGCAGTTCCGGGTTATCTCTGTCATCGTTGGCGGTAAGATACTCTTCATGAGCTTCAAAAGCGCTGGCGAAACTAGTCCATTTTTCCATCATGTCTTCTTTCAAAATCACAAGAACGCTCATGTCTGAGGCATCTGTCAATTTGCTCACATTGTCTAACGTATGTTTGATCATTCTCAACGTTCTTACTCTCACTGCGCTCAACAACACTGGATTGAGTTTGGGAGGTGCCATAATTACCAAAAACGACCCTAAATTTCCGTTTATTTTAATTTTATTCAATGAACAAATAATTTATTGTATCCTTTTAAACAAAAATTTCGTGCTACAATTGTCTAATATCAAACGATTCGAACGGTACAAACGCAGAAACGCAGGCAATGGAAAAAGAAACACTTTTATTTGCAATGACCGTGTTGAATCAGTTCATGCAACAGCTCACGGTCTCGTTGGTTGTTCACACGACGTTCTGTTTTTTCTCCCTAATTGTATGTTGAATCATCTCGTCTGTTCTGCAAATTAAACGATGATTTAATAAAGAGAAACGTTTAATCCAATTAGTCGTCTTGCATAATTTCGATTCGAAAGATTTTCGGATGATAGATAAAAGACCAGACTCGATCTCAGTTAATGAAAAGAAAGCAACACAAAAACATACCGAAGATCAACGTAAGCAGTTGCTTCGTCGAGTATAATAAGTCAGCTATTCCGCAGAATGGCACGGGCCAAACACAGAATTTGACGTTGACCAGTGCTAAAGTTTTGTCCATCTGCTAAAACTGGCATTTTTAAACCACTTCCTTCACTCAAAATCTCTTTCATTCCAACATTTTCCAAATGATGAGGTTCTTTCCAAATTTCTTTGAATTGCGAGTAAAAAAAACATAAAAAAAGAATCATTCATTGCCTCACCTTCGTAATGTGCCAGAAAAGAATGTTGGCTCTTGTGGTATTATTGTAATCTTTGATCGTAGCACATTCAAATCAATGAATGCCGTGTTTACGCAGTGTTTTTTTATTTTTGTACGGGAGAAAAAATGGTCCAAACTGTTGTAGTAATTGTAGTAACCCAGAATTAATTTTAGTGGCCCTAAAATGATCGAATTCTGTTCGCCTCTTGTGCCAATAATTTATTTGCATTTGAAAACCATTATTTAAATTTATTCGCATTTTTTTTTATTATGCTAGATTCTTGAATTAAAGTAAAGATTTGGAGTTGAAATGATGCTAAATTTCTGCAGAAAATAATTTTTGTTTGGAAACAAATTCAAATGGAACTAAGATTTATTATTGATTATTATATATGATTCGAACATGAATTTAAAATGAAACAAATCTCTTGATAATTCGATGTGGATAAATGACTTTCCTGGAAAGTCTTTCCATTTGGTGTCTGATTTGGTCAATGATTCTCATTGTGGATTCGTTTCATATGTTTCTTGAGGCTCGATTTTTCCGTATAATTGCATTGGCACAGCTCACACGGGAACGGTTTCTCGCCTGAATGGGTGAGCATATGCCTTTCCAAATGTGTTTTTAGTGGACCGAAAAATTTGTGGCACAAGTGACACTCGTAAACACGTCGATTGCAGCCTTTTTCATGCGCTTTCCATTGACTTTGTTTAGAGAAACCTTGACGACAAATCAAACATTTGAATGGGAGAATCTGAGTATGCGATCGCATGTGCCGATTGAGACCGTCTTTCCGTTGGAATCGTTTCGAACAGCGTTGACATTCGAAAGGCGTTTCACCAGAGTGTGTGCGCATATGGTCGATCAAATTGCATTTGTTCAATCCAATTGACTTGCCACAAACATAGCATTCATAAACACTTCGTTTGCACTTCTCTTCGTGTGCATTTCTTTCATCTTGGTGTACGAATCCCAGACGACATCTGGAACAGCGGAATGAACGTGGTCCAGCATGAAGCTTCAGGTGTATGTTGAGATTACTTTTCTTTGTGAACTGATGCGAACATTCTTTACATTCGAATGGAGTGTCACCGCTGCGCACACGCGTGTGGTGAACCAAATTCGCTTTCATTGATCCAAATGATTGGTTGCACAAGTGACATTCATATCGACGCACCTTGCAATTCATTTCGTGTGCAACTTTTTCGTCTTTTCCATCAAATCCTTGCAAACAGCCCGTGCAATGGAATAGAAACTCTCCTACGTGAGCTTTCATATGTGCATGGAGATTTTGCTTGGCCGTAAAACGTTTCGGACAGAAATCGCACGCATGTGGCTTTTCACCAGTGTGTTTGATCATGTGCATCTTTAGGTCAAAGCTTCGGTTGGAGGCGTATTCGCAATTGCATTTATGCTTCTTTGACACATTTTTCGGATCATCAGCTGCATTACGAACATTTGCGTTGCGGGAGCCATGGCATCCTTCTGGCAGTAAAATGCCGTCGTCGTTTTCGTTCTGTGGTGGCGGCTGCTGATGATCATGTTGGTTATCCAACATAGCCTCTCTTGATTAATCACCATTTGTCTTCGATTTCTTCCTTCACTTCGATTTCAACGTCGTCGCTATCGAGACTGTCGAAATCGTATTCGTCATTCGATTGATCGACGCTTAGTGCGAGCACAAAGCCACGATTATTCAATACCGGATTGGGAACATCAACCAATTCACAGACTGGCTTTGGCTCTTCCTTGATTTGTGGCTCCACTTTGACTTCAACTGGATTGTTTAACTGACTAACAGCTTCGACCATATCTATTTCTGAGTTCATCGATTCGACTGATGCATTAGAATGATGGCCTTGATTCAATGCTGTTTCAGTAGCTCGCCTGAAAATCAATGGACAAAAGTTAATATTTAAATCAAGAAACAAAGAGTCACCTTCCTAAAACGAACATTTTCTTGTAAATTCCAAGTGTTTTTTTATCAAGTAAAACAATATGACGCAATTGAAAAGCGAAGACAAAAATAAACACATTCGGTTTGAGTCATGCACAAAATGTATCTTCTTCCAAATCATTTAATAAATGAAAATGAAGCAAAAGAAAATTATTTCGTACATCACAAATTGGAAATAAAACCAAAGATTCAATTCGTATAGCTTTGATCTATCATACATCGGGATGAACGGCAATGTCAAAAATCAATGAAAAAACCTTCCATTTCATTTGTCTCAAGCTGAAATGTCAATGTGTCATGGAAAATTACTTACTTCTTTTTGCTCCACATTTTACTTCGTCAAATTGAGAATTCACAATAAGATTTATTTGATTTGCACGTTGAAATGAATGAATCACTTCAAAAAAATGTGATAATTTTCATATAAATTCGATGCAAGTTCTGTTTTTATTACTGAAAATATGTTTGTTTCGTATAAAATCAAAAGTCGCTGTGTTAGCATCAACAGAGCAGAAGTACGTGCTGTCTCCTTGGACGACCGCAGCGAAAAGAACATGTCGCTTTGCTTTCTTTGTGCACAATATGGCGGGAGAGTCTGTGTGTGTGCGCTTGTGTGAGTGCATACTGATTCGATAGATTGTGTTTGTGATGATGTTCACATCGAATCGTGTTTCTTTTGCTTTCCAATCTCTCTTTTGATACAGCCAATGGAATTCGCTTTCTCTTCACTTCATTCAAGTGCCACTGGCTACGAATGAAAGTGACAGCTCCGAATTGTTTCTATCAATCCTTTTTATTCAAAAGTCAATTGTTCGTACAATTTTTCGTCATGAATTGAAAGAAATAAAAAAACAATTTTTGGAGGATCAATTTTGTCATGAAAAAGGATGAGATGAAAATGTCAAAGTTATTGGAAATTATTGTCATGTAGATTGACTAGTTCAATCACATAAAATGCAAAACGGCTGGCTTTTTGGCAGTGTGTTTGTTCATATGTTGCGTCAAGTCAGATCTTCGCTTGGAGGCATATTCACACAAGTTACATTTATGCTTCTTCGACACATTTTTCAGACCACCAATTGCATAGCGAATGTTTTTGTTGCACGATTCATGGCCTTTCTCGGGCAGTAAGAAGTGTTCGTCGTTCAGTGGTGCTAGCTGCTTATGATCGTACATCATTCCCATTGAATCATTCGCTGAATCAAAATTTGTCTTCGATTGTTTTTCCTCTTTCTTGTCGGTTTCTTCCTTTACTTTGATTTTGATATCGTCGCAATTGAGACTGTCAAACTCGTATTCACCATTCGGTTGATTGACATCAATTGTGTGTACAACGCCACAATTATTCCATACCGAAGCAGGAACATCAACTAATTCAACGACTGACTGTGGCTCTTCCTTGATTTGTCGTTCATCTTTGACGTCAACGCAATCATCCGACTGATTGCCTGATTCGATCATTACTTTGTCTGAATTTGCTGGCTCAAATGGTTTTTCATTGAACTCTACTTCAGTTGCTACTCGTCTGAAATTAAATGGACAGAAATTGATACATTTAACACAAAAACCAAGTGTCATCGAAACTGTTTCTTGAAAGATGGACCCAGTAGTTCTTTGGAAAAAATGAAAAAGACCGAATCATTCTACTGAAATTATGTGTCATTACTTACTTCTTTTCGTTGTCCATTTCGTATCACCAGTTTCCGATTCACACCAGATTCCAATGGATTAGGAGGATTTAAACTATTAATTACTTCGTGAGCTTCAGAAATGTTGACGAATCCTTGAAAAATGGTATCGAAATTCGTGTATTGCGTCACTCAAATTATTCTCGTTTAATGCGAAACAGAAAATGGCTGCATTGGCATTAGCAGAGCTGTGGTATGTATTGTCTCGTTTGACGTCAACCGCAAAAAGAAAGTGTCGTTCTCCTTTATTCGTAATGAAGCGATGGAGTAGCGTTTGCGATTGTATGAGTGCGAATTGATGCGCAAAGTTGTGTTCGCGTCGACATTTTGTAATCAAATACCACTTCGTCTCTTCTTTCCTTCTATGTTTCGATGCATTGAATGAGTGTCATAATATTGTGACTGAATCAAGTGTTGCTAGTAAGCTAGATGGGAATAATAATAAAAACTCTGATTTGCTTCAATGAACTGTTTATTTTCATTAGTGGGTTTACATTTGGATGAATTGAAAGGAAATTTAAAAAATTTCACTGCGAAAATGTGGTTTTACTGTGAAGAAAGAAAGAAGTAAATGAAAGTAATTGTTCGAAAGTGCAATAAAATCGATCATAATTCAGATCTTATTTCAATGAATCAAACCATTGGGATTGATTTGATTAAAGATTCTTTAAATCTACATGTCTCTTAAGGTTCGATTTCTGTGTGAAGCTAACATCTCATTTATATCGGCATAGCTCACACTGTAACGGTTTTTCGACTGAATGCGTTCGCATATGCCTTTTCAAATGTGTTTTCTTTGAACCAAAAAACTTATTGCACAAATGACACTCATAATAACGTTGATTGCCGCCCTTTTCATGCGCTTTCGATTGAATTTGCTTCGAGAAACCTTGACGACAAATCGAACACTCGAACGGGAGATTCTTCGTATACGATCGAATGTGCCGATTGAGACCGTCTTTCCGTTGGAATCGTTTAAAACAACGTTGACATTCAAACGGTTTTTCACCAGAGTGGCTGCGCATATGATGAATCAATTGAGTTTTCTTTGGACCACATTGAGCCGAATAATTGCAAAAATCACACTTGTGTCGCTTCGATGAATTTCCTTGTGCTTTGCCACCTTGTTTCTGGGTGTTGTTTGCATCATTTTCTGCGACCACATTTGATTCATCTTCTGGTAGTGACTGTTGATTTTGTTGCTTTTCTGACGCATCGCTTCCAGTGTCACCACTTGTTTTCGACTCTTTTTCTTCCTTCTTTGCCTCAGCTTTAACCTCCGACAGACTTGACCAATCAAAATCGTATTCATCGCCACTGCCATTGCATACAGGTGGATTTTGAATGTCACGATAATTCGATGCTGACACCTCAACCAATTCGTCGACGGACAACGGCTCTTGCTTGATGTCGGTTTCCTGTTTCACTTCGAATAAGTCTCCAGACTGATTGTTTCTCTGATCCATTGGGACTATCCGATCCGACGTTTCGAATGGAACACCAGAGCTGTGACCCTCGTTCGTTGCCATTTTCGCCGATCGTCTAAGAATCAATGAACAAAAATTGATATTTTAACCAAAGTAAAGCAAAGCAATTTGTTCGAAGCTGATAAAACTCTAATGACTCATCCAAATATACTTACTTCTTCTTATTCCCCATTCTTTTCCACACAATTCCCAATTTTAATCGATATCAATGACTTTTTACGCTGTGAATTTCTATTAGTTTCGAAAGTGATGGAAAATATTTGGAAATCTCGAAAATAAGAAAATATTGTGATTGCGTCGAATCGAAGTAATGCAAGTGCCAGTAGTGGCGATGCTGTGAAACGTATTACCGCTTTGAATGTCACCGACGAAAAGAATGTGCGTTGATATTGATAGCGAGTCGCTATTAGCGACCAAGCGGTGATATAGTAATTGCGATCGTGTAAGTGTGAATAGATTTGGCCTAATTGAATCGTTGTTTTTTATGAATGACACACGAACATCGAACAGTTTCGATTCGATACAGATGTCGCTAGTGTTGAATGAACATACGCAAGATTTCGATTTGAATTTTAAAGCATAAAGAACTATCCTTGAAACACATTTGTTTGTCTCATCAATTTCAAATCCACTTCCAATGGTGAAATAAATCAAAATGTAACTTTTTTTTGAAATTGCTACTTTGACCTTTTCGACCTTGACAAAGACACATTAAGCATTCATGAGCTCAACAGTTCAACTGAAAAAGTCATTGAACGAACTCTTCGTTTCAATCCGTCAAAGGTGTATTAAATACGTATTTACCAAACTGCAGTTTTAACGAATCAAACACATGCCTAATTTATCAGTTGCATTCTCAAAGACAACACAACAAGTCGAATTGAGCTAAATAAATTTCTCGATATTTTGAGTGATAATTTGCTTCGAGACGATTGTTGAATTCAAGGTGAAGAAATGAATGGAGAATTATTCAAAGAATCCGTTTTTAAAAACCCAACGGCAGTTTTTTTCTTCAATCAGTCACTGTAATTACACACATTATTATTATCATTGATTCATAACTCGACCTATTAAATAGGAAAAATGATGGCAATATCAATTTCATCAATACCACTGAAGTTCAATTACAAGATTTCCAACATTAGTGCACTAACTAAGTTCATGAACTGGAAGACGAGAATGAGGAAACCCCCAAAGTTATGGTTCGAGGAGTTCCATAGCACATCGAGTTTGCGAAAGAATGCGAAGATGGGGATGACTGGTTAAAATTCTATTTGTTCCGTAAAAACGAAGACGATCCGTATAATTGGGCATACATTGGCGTCGACTACAATCAAATTGTTAACATTTGACAACAATGCAAAAATACTCGAATGTCACAGAAGGTTCTGGCGACAGAATTATCAAATGGCGCGATTTGTTTGACGTTGAATGGAATTTTGTGAAGGATGACGCTATCAATTTAGAGGTTCAGATCGAAGTTGCTGATCCAAGCAGTGTCAATAAGAGCGAATTAACCCATTTTGGACCGCGATCCTAATTTTGTTTTCAAAATGATTCAAACTTTCAGATATGAATAATATAGTCGAAAAAAGAAGTTTCCACTTTCCAGATCGATAATTTTTTTTCGCACTTAGCCAGAATGAGCAAAAATGTGCTGGTCGTTTTTCCGACCAACGGTCCCTAATGTAATCAAATGTAGGTGAAATTTTGAATTTATTTTAATCCTCAAGAAAGAATGAAAATACATTCATAGAATTAATTTTTACCATCAATATCGTTGTTTTAGACGTGTTTTATCACATTTCATAATCGTTTGAATTCATAATATGCATTTTGAATGATTTTAAGTCAGTTGGCCAACGGAGAAAACTTCGAACGAAAATTCTCATGGCACGTTGGAACGATAACGCTGACGACAACATGATCACAAACTTTGAAACGATTGAGCCATTGAAAACGACCCGACGGTATGATCGAAAGCAAAAGCGAATCGCAGCATTTCATCAGCCGCACCTTATCAATTCTTACAATCAACACATGGGCGGCGTGGATTTGCATGACAATGCAGCAGCGAACTATCGGGTCAATGTGCGTGGCAAGAAATGGTGGTGGCAGTTGAGCACCGCAGTGGTTAATGCATGGAAATTGCATTGTTTCGTGGCTAAAAATAGTGCCAACCCGTTCAAACCGTTATCACAACTCGAATTCCGTTCCAAAATCACCAAGCACTTGATCACTTCCTTCGAGAAAGAGTTTGCCAGTGACGACGAGGTCGATATGGAGAATGATGACATTGACGATCCTGATTATGAACCTGATGGACTGGTAAATGACGCAGTCAAAAGTCATCTCATTGAACGGTCACCAGATGGAAAAAGTCGTCGATGCAAGCACTGCCACAAACACACAAACCAGATTTGCAAACGTTGCAACATTCACCTACACGCAAAGTGTTTCACACTCTACGAGGCCCACAAATGAATGGAATAATTTATGATGAATTCATTTTTCACTTAATATTAAGTTAGAATAGACATTTCTATTTATTTTTTATCGTTTTATGACTAAACAAATGATTGTCATATCAAATATCAATGTTTTAAAAAGTATCTAAAAAAATTGATTTCTTCCTCTTTTGATCACATATAGGACCAATGGTCGGATTTCCGACCACCCATTTTTACGCACGTGTACTGCACACAAATCACGAAGTAAATATCGGAAGAGGAATTGTATCTAAAAATATGGTCTTTTTATGAAAGATCTGCATCATTACTTTTGCATTTTTTATTTTCCAAATTTTCTTATCTACTGAGTGAAAAAAGGTCCAAAAAACATCATTTTTTCGTAGCTCGATTTGAAAAACTTGGATTTTTTTTTCCATTTTATTTTGACTCCCAATGGATAGTTCGTCTTTCAAACTTCAATTTTAAAAAAAAGTAACCAAATTTACCACCTAGGAACTGAGATATCAGTCTGGGAAGCAACGGTCGTTTCACTGGTCGGAAAAACGACCAGCGGGCCAAAATGGGTTAACGTTTGAAGAATTGGACAAATGCTGTGAAAAATGTGATCATGTATCGTATCGATTGACCATTTCGAACATTGACGCCTTAATGGTGGTTCGAACACCAACATTTACGTGGCGAGACTTTCTTTGGAACATATCAATCTAGAAGAATACTTCGAATTATATCGGTGTTTGCTTAATGAACAAAGGAAACCCTAACTACGATGCATGCAAATTGGGAACATCTTTCCAATTGATTTCGTCAGTAGACGAATCAGAATCAATTTCAAAAACGTATAACGGAGAATTACAAAATGGACGTGGGGTCCACACTGCCGACTTGTTGCCTTGGTATAATTTGTTTGATGATGAAAATGGTTTTGTTGTAAATAACCAAATTGAGTTTGAGTTTAAAATCAAAGTAAACACACCTCAGGTGGTAGAGGTTCCGAGTACAGAAAAACGAGCAGCACCTCATGGACCATCCGATGATGTAAAGCTCCTGAAATTGCAATGCCCGATCTGCTTTGAAAGCATTCATGGACAATTGGTGTCGTCTCTTCCATGCAGCCACTTGTTTTGTTTAGAATGCATCAAGAAGTCGCTTAAAGAACGCACAGTGTGCCCACTGTGCAGAGCTACCTCAGACTTAAAGGATTTGCGTCACATTCGTTTGCCAATGTGAGTATGACTTCCTGTTATGCACATCAATCAATGATTGAATCAATCAGGATTAAAGGAGCAACGAATATTTTTTTCGAAATGTTATTTGGCTTTGCTATACTTGATTTCCAATCAATTCAAAATTGGCATTCATTTATTTCCAGTACTGAATTAAGTGATTGAACTCATTTTCTTCTAATTTAATCATTTTATTCGTTTTTTTGCATTTGATATCGTAAACTAGACCTGATTGATTCAACGATATATCAAGTGAAATCGAAAGTGACAATTGTAGCGAGATTCAAACGACTTCAAAAACATCAACTTAAATGAAGAAACCATTTGGAATTTGTTTGCCAATCAAATTATCGCCAGCATTACGATCAACCTGACTCAAACTTTGCATCATAATTCCATTTTCGTATCCTTACGATATTCATAGCAATAACATAATCCCCGAAATACTGAAGCATTATGATTAATGGCTGTAGCAGTTCGAAACATTCATTATCAATTTTCTTTCGTATTCTTTTTGATGAGAAAGAGTAGCTAATGAGTCAATTTCCAATGAACGCACCCCTTTCCATTGAACGTATCCATCATTGATCTGTCACAAAATTGGCTTTTGACAGTCAAGCTACATCCTTACTCAATGTTCATTTTTGTGTAAAACATATTGCGTCGTACGCTCAATTAAACAACATAAAAAATTCGGAAATTTGCTGCGCAAAAAAAGTGTTGGAAAAATAAAAGTGATCATTGTCATCGAAGGAATTTCATCGTTCAAGTGATTGTATCCACTGAATATGGCGTTGAACATTTCAAAAGTCGTTTTCAACCATAAAATTTCCAACATCAGCGAACTGGATGAAGAATGGACACCAGAATTCATGCTTCAAGGTGTTCCGTGGTTCGTTGAATTTTGCAAGCAAATTATCGATGGCCAAAAGTGGTTTGGTTTTTATTTGTTTTGTTCAAACAAAGATGAATTACATGATTGGTCGTACACAGCAACAAGTGCCTTTAAATTTGTGCCATCTGATAGGAAGATAAAACCAAAGGAGATTTTCCCTTCGCCATTCATTTTCAATCACGTTTGCGATAGTTGGGGCTCAAAAATCAAGTGGTGCGATTTGTTTGACGCTAAAAATGGTTTTATGAAGGACGACACGATCAATTTGGAAATTCAAGTTGAAGTTGCTGATCCAAACGATGAAGGCAAAAGTGTCTTGAAGTTCGACGAATTGGATAAGTGTTGCGGCGAAAGCGGTTTTGCGTCATTCCGATTGACTGTCTCCAATATTGATGCTCTTGTCGCTGTCCGATCGCCCAAATTCATTTTGCGAAACATGCCTTGGAACATTATGATTTGCAAGAATCTGTCCAATCATCTCGGCATTTTGTTGGACCATCAAATCTATGATACCAATATCTCATGCGAGTTGAAAGCATCTTTTGAACTGGTTTCGTCTCTGGGAAAGCCAAAATGCATTAAAATGGAACGTAAGCAAACGATGGAATTGGATGTAGATTTGATGGAAATAGAACAATTTGTACCATGTGATCAATTACTTGACGAAGAGAATGGATTTGTTGTGAACAACGAGATCATTTTCGAGGTTGAAATCAAGGCACAAAAACTGGTGGGTGAAATGGCACGTGCCGAAAAACGAGCAGCAGCTGGTGGACTATCCGACGAAGCAAAGCTTCTGAAATTGGAATGCTCGATCTGCCTGCAAGTCATTCGTGACCAAAAAGTGTCGTCTCTTCCCTGCAGCCACTTGTTTTGCACAAAGTGTATCGAGAATTGTCTCAAACGTCGCAAGAAGTGCCCATTATGCGGAGCTGCCTCTTATCTGAATTATTTGCGTCGCATTCGATTGCCAATGTGAGTGTGACCTTCTAATAAGTGTAGTTGAAAGTGTCAACTTGAAACATGATTAGAAAAGTGAAAAATGCTTCCCGGCCATTCTTTTCACAATTTGCACTCTCATTGGAGAATGAATGTTGCGATTGGATTCAGACTTATCTAATGATTGTTTTTATTTCGTTTTTTTCGTTTCACAGCACAAACTAGCCATGCCGATCGATCCAAGTACATCTCAAACCGAATCGAAGCTGATGAAAATTGAAGTAAAATTCCAGCGACCTTAAGGCACCATTCAAGAGACACAAACTACTGTTATCTCATTCATTTGTTTGCCAAGAACAGTTTCCATAAACATCGTTTAAATAAATTGATTGAATCTGATTTTTGATTGATTCCACTTGAAGTTGAACTCGACCTAGAAGTTGACGAAAGTTTGTTGGTTCAATCCGGTTTAATTTAGCCGGAAAACAGTTCCCATTGTTCAAAATCACAATTAAAAATAAGTTTATTTGACTTTTTGCCTTTAAATAGTTTTGACGCAGTAAGTACTTTCTGAACTCATCGATGGTCACTTTTATTAGTGTTTTTGAAGGAAATACAAGTAATTATTAGTCTTTTTGTGCTCTTCGCAATATCGAATTTGTTCATAGTTCATTCATTTCCAATGAATTTTAGAATCTCAAAAACTTTTGCCAGTTGAAGAATTTCAAATTATAGGATGAAATTTTAGCCCTATTCTATTGAGAAATTCTAAGAACTGAGAATATAAAAAGTTTCTTCACTTTTGACCTTAAAGCGACCAAATTGTCTTTGAACCGATACAAATGCTCATATCTAAACTAATGTAAAGTTAATTGTCAAACTAACTCAACTAACCAATAAAAGCTATCCAATTAAAGACTGAGAGGTGAATTCAAAGTTTTAACATGCAATCAAAGCCATTGTAATTTTTGATTAGCTAAAGAATCAACTTGAACAAATAGTGTTCTTTTGACACGAGTATTCCAAAATGGACATAAGCGTTAAACGATAAATTCTTAGTTCTTGGAAGCGTTAATTGACGAATAATTAATTGTTGACTAACTTTTGAGTGAAGTTGAACATTAAAACCGCTCAATCAAATTGAATCCATAGCAAAAAAAAACGGGTTCTAAGAATACCTCTCCATTCATAGTTATTCAGTTAGCTTGATTCATTACAAGATCAGTTTGAATCGAATATCCGAATTGAACATCCACAAAACGGAAAAGCTCTCTCTTCAGTCAGCAAATTTTTGTTCATCAAACTAAAATTTAAAAATCTGAGATCAAAATGAAGCCACTTGTGACAAATCAGCAAGTTCTAACTTGGCTCAGTATTTGTCGTGCAAACGAAGAAACGAGTAAATGCAAGATATTTCTCTATCGTGTGTTTTCTGTGGCAGTATTTCTTGGCTATTTTAACGTTTTCATCGCAAGTTCGGTGTTCTTTTTTAAATACGCGTCGGTTAGTCTAGAGGAATCATTATATTCTCTTTTCCAAATAAGTGGTATTTTTGGCACCGTTTACATGATGATTGCTGCATATTTTTTACGCCATCAAATCATCGTCATTTTTGACAAACTATCAGAGATCTACGATTCATGTAAGAACTTTATTTTTGATTTCATTTGAATTTTTCCAATGAAAAAGTGATAATTTTGAAAACATTCTTACTCAATCTTAAACATACTAGTAGATAAATGTATGTAACTCGGTTTTAAACACCAATGAAATTGAACTTTAATCACTTGGTCTTGAAAATTGTTCAAAACGGTTCAAAAACTGGTGTTTGCATGAACAAATTTTTCTCTCATTTGCATTTAGATCAAAATGACGACACGTTCCATTCTGTGGTGCGAGTCAACGAGCAAAGCGAATGGCTGTGGAAAATGTATTTCATATTTGTATTGGGTGGCTTCGTAGTGAATTCATTGCTTTTGGTGCTCATTTCGATTTTATATTGCTGGTTTGTAAATGGATACCTTGATGTGACATCCTTTCATCGGACATACAAAACGGTGTAAGTAGAACAGCTGATTTATTTAGTCTTAAAAAAACTAAAAGTCTAAAATCTTTATTTTCCGTTTAAAAAACTGTTTGCATAATTTTGATTTCCTTACCCAATATTCTACCTCAAATAGCTTGCCATGGGATCAGGAAACTTTAATGGGCTTCGGTTTTGCGACCTGCTTCGATCTCTTTGGCGCTGATTCGTACTTCATTTCCAATGGATCGCTCCTTTTGCTGTTCATCTCAATGTGTTTGCATCACGAGGCATTTCTTAAAAGGTTCCAACAAGAAATGTCCAAATTTGATCATACTCTTGAGAATACGAAACACAGGGATATTCTTTGTAAGCTGGTTCGCTTCCATATTATCACTAAAGAGTGAGTGAAGTTGTAGAATATTTTAAAGACTAAATTCAATGCACTTTAAAGCATGCTAAATGACCCGTTGATGAATCTTTCAGATGGTTTCTACAATCAGCTGATACTTATCGTCACTTTGTTCTCGTTCAACTAATAAGTAGCGTGATTTTCCTTGCTTGCATCGTGTTTCAATTGGATTTGGTGAGTTCATATCCATTTATTACTTAATTTCTAATTTCATTAAATTCATTTTTTTCATGTCGTGTGTTCACGATGATTCTTGACACCTAGCTTAACACTCTCTCAAGAAACATGACATATGTGACACATATGCTGTCTATCACATGTCTCAATACCATAGTCCAACTTCAATTCAATGAAAAATATACATATTCTAAATCATTTCTTCCCCAAATTTACAGCAATCAAAGCATCCCAGCGTAAACTTAGTTCTGATGCTTTTTGGAGTTTTTGTTAGCGGTACGAATCTCTTTGTCTATTGTTTCTTTGGCAAATTGGCCACTGAAAGCTATACCAAAATTGCCGATTGTTTGTATGAGGCCAACTGGCGTGAAGTCTCTATCGATTTGCAGAAATATATCATCGTTATGATCCAAAATGCTCAACGTCCACTGTATTATCATGGATTTGGTATAGCTGTTTTAAATCTGGAGACATTTTGTGGGGTAATTGAAAATAATAATTGAATCAGTTTTTGAATTGTCTAACTCTTTATTTTCTGATTTCAGCTTCTTCAAAAAGTAGCTACTTTTTATATGGCATTTAAAACGTTCACCGAGTAAACACACGGAATGATACAGTTCTAGCTCTCGCTCTTAAAAGAGATAAAATTATTCGCAGTTAAAGCATTTACTTAATAAGAGTAGATTAAAATTGTTTGAGAAATTAGTCACATTTTATTGTTAAAAATCGTTCTGCGATTTGCATCGTCATCAACACGAACAAGAACCAGTGTTTTCATCACGGAAAAAAATTAAATGTGTTTCACGTCTGGCATGCACTGTATGTATTCCTGTGTATTCGAGTGTCTCGTGTCATACACAAGCGCCATCTCAATTCCTTCGGGCTCAAACATATATCGATGGCTTTCAAAAAAAGTTGATGTTTCTAAATAAAATGGCGTGAAATGTCAATGATTAATTATAATTTTTTGTGTGTGTATATTTTTTCTATTCACAATTTTTAAGTTCAATTTTTATTTTTATTAAACAATACACTCACTCAACATACAAAAAAAAGTAATTCATAATATCCACAAATTCTCCACGTGTAGAATAGTATTTTTCCACGTGTAGAACGTACAGAACAAATCTCTTGAAAGCGCTCGACAGTTTGACATTTCAAACACAGCTATATGCAATGTATAGTAACAAACATGAAAAAGCCATATTGAAAGTAGATTCAAAAATTGTTTAAAATGTTTTCTTTTTTAAAGCGTTCTTTTTGCACTTTTGGTTGTCAGTTAAAAATCTAAACTATACTCAAGATGAAATACAGTGAATATAAGTGAAAGAGAGCAGAACAAACATGAGAATTTGTGGAATTGGTTTTAATTCGAAATTGGGAGTGTTGATTACCCAAGTGAATGTTATAAAAAGATGTCAATGTTATTTCAGTTTTCTTTGATACTTTGTTCTGAAATCAATAAATAATGAAGAACAATTATCTGTTTGTTGCATCAATATTTTCAATTAAATTGTTGGTTCAACATCTGTTGACACTTGCTTTGCCTGGGATTATTGAGATGGCGCTTCGAGCGCATCTGTATATAAAAAAAACTCTAAAAAGTCTCGCTTGATGTGTTTCCACCACAAAGTAAATTTTTTTTCATTTAAATGATTGCATCTCAAAAATAATATTGAGCATTTCAAGGGATGTACTGATTAGACATGTCAATGAACAGATTTCTGGATGTTTTCTGTTGAAATCTTGGTTGAAATGGGACCACAATATTATCCGATTTTGACTTTCGAACCGTCCAAAATAGGCGAAGTGTAAAAAAATACGCAAACTCAATGATGCTCAATAGTGAAACGCCCAAGAATAGCCCAAGCAAACCGCCACAAACGGCTAGAAAATCGGTGAAAGAGTACGATTGCAATCTTTGAAGTGACTTGATCGTTGGGCCTCCAAAAGAAACGGTCACCACAGTTCCCTGCCTCCTGAAACAATATTGATTGGTTAAAGGATTTCTTTGTGCTTTTTATGATTTGGAATTTAATAAAAGGGTAAAAAAAAGTCGATAAAAGGTAATGGAAAAAAAAGAAAGCTAAGAAATATAACAAAATATTACCCGGGTAAATCGACATCGTTCTTAATTTTATTCAAAGTTAATTCATATGTTATGGTCGTGCATGCGGGCAAACAATTGCATTTCTCTCGAAATAACCTTGCCGCTTTATCTTTCATTCCATCGATAACATCGATGCTGAATAGCTTCCAAGCGGCATTTTGATAACAAGAAACACTTCCAATACCACAAATCTGTGTCTCATTGGTGTGTCCTAGGAAAGCGACAATTTGGAATTACATCAATGATGAATGGAGTAAAAAATTAGAAAAAGGTTTTATGTATAGGTAATCATTTGTAAAATTAGCGTACATACTTGGCATTGAGTATTTCAGGCATCCACATTCGATTTGTGTGAAATTAGACAAGCATTCTGTTTCACAATTGATTTGGCTGTAGATTTTAAAAAATCGCAATCGTCTTTCAGACTGAAAGAAACATTGTCTTTGATTGGGGCTATATCCTCGTAATTTCTCTGATGTCACGATTACTTTGGGTTTTATCAATATTTGAACTATTTGCTGCATTTCCACATAGACGGTGTCCAATATCTTTACAGAGTCACCGGGTACCGTAAGCCCAATTTGAAAACCATCTCCTTCACATATCATGTTCACGTCTTTGTCAAAAATCCACATACCAATTTGGAACCACATACTTTTGCTACTAAACACACGAATGGGATATTCATTTTCTTCTGCTGTAGTGGTTTCGTATCCATCATCTAGGCTCCAATGTGATATGTGTGGATTTTTCGTGGAAATTTTCAATTCAGATGTCATTCTAAAGAGAAAACAGATTTTATTTCCTCATTACAAATCTCTTTGAATCAATAACAAAATAGCTCATGTGACCCTACTCTTCAGTGAACATTTCATGTGAATTGAGAGCGTTGAATGCATAGCAGAGCCCATCTCCTGTCCAAACTGGAGTTAAAATCTCTGAACATTCACGGTTCATGCCTATCTCCAATGGTGACGAACAAGAACCTATCTTATCATTAAAATTTGGCGCCATATCTTGGATGATATCGTAGATTGAACTATTTGTGAATTTATTTCGAAATTTGAAGTAATTATCGTCCTTGAGATCACACACAAGTCCGAATGCATCTAATCGAGATAATCTAAAATGAAATATTATCACCCATCAATGGTAAATCAGCATTGGGCAAAATATTTTGAACTCGGTAAAATATTGGATAAATCCAGATAGTCGATAGCTTACTCGATATCAGAGAAATTCTTCACATTTTCAATCGTTGAATTGAAAAAATTGTCAGATAGGTTCAATTTGGTTCTGTTCGCTTTTATCCCAGAACAAATTGTTACGGTGGGAAATGGGACTGCGGATATCGGTCGCTGTTTTTCGGCGAAACTCAGTGTCACCGGTGTTTCACTCCAATTAGTCCAATACAAACGAATCGAATTACCGCACAATAGAAACGATACACTAATTGCAATTAGCCACCAACACCGCTCACTCCAATGTCGTCTTTGTTCCGTTAAATATCGAACACCATGTATCGAGCTATTGCTACAAAATTGAGTTAAATTTGCACGCATCATAAAGTCTCAACGAACAAATGAACCTCTTTTGATATCAACAAATATTCTTTAGCTAAAAAATTTCAGCTAATTTGAAAAATTGTTGAAGGTTGGAAAGGAAAATTAGCTGAAATTGATGAACTCTTTCTACCAGAACTGATTATTCAGATCTGAACTAATAATACAGTCACAAATCCACATTCAAAGTTATTCGAAAGTTTCGATGATCCAAAATTTGAAAGTGAAAATGACGTCAAGTGAAAACATCGAGCTTCTGTTCTAACCTTCAGACATTTCAGCTGCATGCATTCCAATATCAATATTACTGTTTACTTGCATATTGCAAAGCCAAGTCTATATGACAGATATTCATCAAAATATCATATTTATTCAAGTATTCTTCATACAATTTGACGATTCAAATAGGTGATATCACGTAATTAACTCTGTAAACCGATTACATTCATGAAATTATCATTAACAATGAAATGAACGCATAGGAACATTCTTGAACTGTGAAATTTAGTGTGACATAAAAGAGTCCCACACGCTCAATGTATGGTCATGCGACGCTTTTAAACCGAGTTTCGTAGACCACGAATGTTTCTATGCCTTCAAATGGCTCAGAACGTTATTAGAATTGATGTATTCGAATATCGTATTTGTACACGAACGACTTTTAAATAACGGCAATAAATATATTTCACGGCTTTGAATAAAACGTCATGACTTTTATAATATGTGTGATGTTACATGACTCATTTTTCGACGTAATATCTGAATTGCTCCAGAAATGTCTTGGAAATGAAAAAAAAAAAACAAATTTATTATATGAAAGTGATAGACTTCCAATGATAGGAAGTTCATCCCAAGTTGTTCTTCCAACAATTTTCTTAAAGGTTGTATACAAATATTGCCCTTGAAAAGTCAATTATTTCATAAAGATTGAATTGGAATTGACTTGGCGCTTTGATAAAATCAATCGTATTGATTTTTTTTTTGTTTAAATTACAGTCTAAATTGTGTTTATACTACAGTTGTCACGACATCATATCATCACCGGCGCGTAAACAACGAATCGTATCAGGTAATTAAACAACTGGGCTAACGGTCAATTTAAGGTCATTGAAGTGTTTTCAAGTTGAGTAGTCGAACTTATTCGGTTATTTTTTATTTAAATTTTATTTTGATTTTGGTTTCATGTGATCCAAAAGAATAACCATTATTTAATGGATTATTGAATGGAATTTTTTTTAAAGAATTTCCATAAAAAAAAATCCAAAAAGAAATTTTAAACTCTCAATCCTAGAAGTGAAAATTTACTGGAAATACTGGACTATCAACGTCATTGGACTTTCAATTTGTGAGTCTTCGGAAACTTCTGCTCTTGAAAAATTTACGTCAACATCGTCTAATACCGTCAATTCATACGTCAGTCAACTGACTCCGTCATACACGTTTATGATTCAATTCTACTAAATCATTTTAATTGGGGGCTTAGGCATACGTCCGACAATTGATAGCATTAGGCATTAGAAATGGAATTAAGAATGCAACCGAAAAAACATAATCTGCCGTAATCTTATCAATGTATTGTTAAAATTAAAAAAAAAGAAGTGTGAAGCATTTGCCACATTTCTTCAAACCAATAAAGAATTGTATTTGAAACAAAAAAAAATCACATCGATAAGATATTGCTAATATCTTATTGGTGGGTCTTTGTTTTTACACATGACCGGACATCAGTTTTACTTTGGACATTTGTTGAATCAGAACGAAGGTAATTTCGTGGAAAATTTGGTACATTCTGGAAGGAATGAGCGAAATTTGAACAAAAAATTGGTCGCAGTTGGATTTTGCACAATTTTGACTGAATTGACAATGTGGGAACGTGTATTAGAAATAGCGTTATTGATTGTGTTTACAGCACATCAAATTAACACTTTTGGTAAGTTGAAGAGTTTAAATTAAATTAGATTTCTCAGAAGTCCCTGAGATCTTTGTGTGCGTGAGTTGTGTATATAACGACAAACGTATTACACACAACGTAAGTGTATGCAACATTAGGTAAAACCGGTCAAAAATCAAACACACATATGCGGTATTAGGGGCTTTACAACGTCTATTTGTTTAAAATATTCCAAATTTCGATTAAAATCCAATAATAATGAACAGTATTCATAGATTTGAGAGCGTCACATTCTTCGCAATCATTTGTTCGCAAGATTGAGTTAGACTTCGAAGCTTTTGACGAGCAAAGCAATGCAAATGACCATCAACCTATGATTGCTGTAGGCTACCACTATGGAGAGTCGATTAAGCCAATCGAAAATACCCAAAATGAGGAATATAAAATATTTCAAGTGCTTCCTAAGAAATCAATTACTGTGTGCTGCGTGATGAGCACCAATTCATTATCGGAATTTGAAGTAAACTGGTTCAAAAGGGAGAAACAAATTGAATTCGAAACCGATTCAAGATATCATAAAATAAATAACACTTGTTTTAGCATTTTGGGCACAAATTTTGAAATGCATTCGGATGAATATCATTGTGAAACGGAACCAGAGAAAAAGAAGGCGCCGTTTGTGTTGTATGTGAAAAATATTCCACAAGAGCCCGAAATCACTCCGGTAATCTGCGCAGAACGAGAAGCCGTAATTAGATGGAAGTATCAGCCTGCTGTGAATATTACAGTCGGTCGGTTTCACTTTCCTTACGATATTTATTACACCGTTGAATATAAGATTCATGAGTACAACGAAAGTAATGAAAACCATGAGAACCATGAGGAACATCATACAAGTTCAAACGATAAGGAAAATGCTATAGTTTTGAACAATCATCGAAGCGCTTCAAATGCTAGCAAAGATGCTAACGATTGGGATGTATATGAGACCGGAATCAGTAGTACACTATTTGATCCAGAACGGTATTAATTTGAGCTTGTTAAAAAAAAATGAACGAAAAAAAAAATGTTTTCAAAAATTTCAGGCCCCCATTTTGTAAGGTATCGATGAAACCATGGTCGACGTATTCATTTCGAATAATTGCTTACAATGATATGGGTGCTTCAAAGCCAAGTGAATTTGGTGAAACGTGCACATCAGCTGCAGATGTTCCGTATGATTATCCAGACGGTGCTATGGTCAATGGAACAACACCAAAAAATCTGTTCATTTCATGGCATCCAATGCCACTTAGTGAACATAACGGACCTGGATTTTACTATCGCGTAAACTGGAAAAGGAACATTCCAGATGCAGAATGGGCCACCGTAAATGTTACCGATTGGAAGCAAGATCATTTTATTGTTGAGGAGCAACCAACGTTCATTGAATTTACTATCAAAGTAGAAGCAGCGAACGGAAAAGGACTTTCGAATCGAACATCGCCAGAAATACATGGTTATTCGGGAGAAGGTGAACCAACAGAAGCACCGACCAAATTTACTCTCATTGAAACCGGCAAATCAACTGTTATTCTGCGCTGGACTCCGGTGTCACTTAATAGCATACAAGGTCATAACAATGGGTATAGAATTCACCTTTGGAATGATGTTGATGGCGAAAATAAAAAACAAGAAATATCGCTGCCTCATTGGAATACATCAGAAGCAGAGGTTGAATTACGTCCCGAATCAACGAATTATGCATACATTTTTATTTGCAACAGTCAATATCCAGGGCCCAAGAGCGATATTATCGAATTTAAAATGCCAACACGCGTTTCATGCCCAATTCAATCGTTCGACGCATTTCCGTTGGGTTCGAAAGCATTTTTATTAAAATGGACAACGTCATTCAGCAATGTTACCGGGTTTAAAATTGCACATGAAGAAATCGATGGAAATGGATTGACTTATAAAAACTTACCGAAAATTGATAATCCAAAATTGAATCAAATCAAAGTAACTGGCCTCAACGTTAAAACAAAATATCGATTACACTTGCTTTGTACCACCGGGATGGGTGAAGGTGAAAGGTAGGTGTTAATAAGGGGAGTTTTTAGACTAATTTTTGATTTGTTCTTGAATTGAATTTTAAAGAGCTCTGAAAACGAGTGTTAGAATTGAAATTTGTTCTAGAATTTTCGTTCAAACGGAATTTGGGTTTTTAAGGTGAATTAATCTTTAAAAAAAAATCAAATTTGAAGGGGAATCGATATTGTTTTTTTTATTTAAATTGATATCGTTTTTCGAAAAAAACAAAAATCTGAATTTTTGAACAAAGATGTTCCCATCCAATCAAACGTCTATTCAAAAATGCACCTTTGATTTTTAAGATATTCGACCGAAGCGGAAACAAAATCGGATGATCCAATCAAACCAGATCCACCATCATTTCGATGGGAAATATTGAGTTCAACCGAAAATAGTGATGATGTAAGAATCAAAGTGATTTGGATGCCGAATGTCGAGGGAAACGCAGGTTCAAATTTCTTTGTAAAATACCACATAAAAGGTGACGGAAAGTGGAACAAAACGGATGTGATAAAAAGTGAAGATTTTGTCATTATACCCCAATTGCCGGTGAATGAAGTCTATGAATTTCGTGTTGTATCAGTCGATGGTGGTTACAAAACCGAAAGTCAAACGATTGAAATCTCAACAAGAATTTCTGGTATGTAAAATTAAAAATGCGCATTGCGCATCAATGATGATTAGAAGAGAATTTATTTCCAATTGAAATGTTTTAAATTCATGGGAAAAAAAACCATTAGAATTGCCATCAAGTTCATCGACTATTTATGTGGTACCGCTAATGATGTTTATAGTGATTGTGGTTATTGGTATTGCTTTATTCTCGCTGCGAAAACATCGAATAATGAATGATAAGGTTTGTTGCTATGTCATTTGCTTTCAAATTCAGTTCAGTTGATTCCGTTTCCGTTCAAAACCAGTTTAATTGCCACTATTCGAAAATCAATGTGTTTTTTTAATCGTTGTTTTAGAATGAAACCAACCATACAAGCATGTTACCAAGTGTACCACCGACTCCAATTGTAAGCTTATTGAAAAATTTCGAAAAAGGCGATCCGAGCACTTTCAATCCAAAATTGTCGCTCGATGAACAAGCCGAGCTGTTACCTTATGACAGAAAATACGAATTTTCACGTGGAAAACTGAAATTTGGTAGACGACTTGGTGCCGGTTCATTTGGAGTCGTGGTTGAGGCAGTTGCACAAGAAATTGTACCGAATGAAAATGAAACAACGGTTGCCATTAAAACGATTCAAAAATCCGCTGATTTCGAAACATTACGAGCATTGACCATGGAATTGAAGGTATTGATTCATTTGGGAAAGCACTTGAATGTAATCAATTTACTCGGTGCGGTTACGACGACCATTAGTAAAAGTAAATCTAATCTTATCTTTTGTCAAACAATTCAATGAGGTTTTTTTTAACATTGACTGATGCCGTCAAATCTTTTCACGAACAGATGAGCTCGTGATGATTGTTGAGTACTGTCCGCATGGCAATTTACGTAACTTCTTGACAACACATCGCGCGAATTTCATCAATCAAATCCGTAATGACACATTTGTTTTGGGGCAATATGATGGTGATGACAGGTTAGTGGAATGAGATAGAGAGGGTCATTTGTATTTTCGGTTGAACAATTTGAAATTTTGAATTTACGAATCATTGATAATAACAATCTTAATATTTTCAATTTCAATTACGATTTCAGCATCCAAAGCCCACCTTTGGACCGACCCGTTACCACAAGCGATTTGCTTAGTTGGTCATTCCAAACGGCGAACGGAATGCAGTATTTGGCCTCAAAGAATGTTCGCCATGGTGATTTGGCAGCTCGAAATATTATGTTGTGTGATGGGAATGTGGTGAAGATTCGTGGATTGGCTCGAACAAGGTACACAACTGGATTCTATCAGGCTAAAACTCAGGTAAGAATTATTAATAAAAGAGACTTAAGATAGGCTCTCACGTCTATAATCATGAATGAGTTCATTCTTCGAAGCTAATCATCTTCTAAATATTCTTCAAAATCAATTGAAATTTTCGGTATGAATAGCGTCCATTACCGTACAAATGGCTGGCTTTAGAGTCAATCAGTGATCTAAAGTTTACAACATATTCTGACGTTTGGAGTTTTGGAGTGGTGATGTGGGAATTGTTTTCACTCGGTGCATCGCCATATTCCGATATGACAGTTGGTGTTCATTTGTATAACAAAATAAAAGAAGGCTTCCGCCTGGAAAAACCGCAATTCGCAACAGAGGAACTGTAAGTTGGAAATTGTTTATTTTGACATTTTTTCCTTTTTTTGATTCATCAAGTTAAAGGATTTTGATTAATTTAGTGCTAAATCAAAGTGCTTTGCTAAATCAAAGAAGAGTGTTGAATCTTCGGAATATTTTTGAATCGAAAAACATATAAATTTTCTTCAAATTCCTTAAAATTATCCACACAGTTACGATATTATGCTATCATGTTGGCGAGTGAAACCTGAATCACGTCCATTATTTGACGCATTGGCAGACAGATTTTCCAAGATGTTAGGCTCAAATGTGACGGATCGTTTTATCAAACTGAATGAACCAAATTTAAAAGCCAATGAACATCGTTTCAAATCGAACTTTGCAACTTTATCGGGCTCGACGGTTCAGAAACCACCATTGCGACCAGAAAACTCGTCAACAAATGTTTTTCATTTTCCTTAACGAAAAAGTCTTTTTAGGGTGTAAACAATGTAATTGTGTTTTAATGTAAGATGAAGAGTTTATAGATCAAATGAATTCCATAAAAATAACGCAAGTATTTTTCAGTCAACTTTCGAATAATCGTTTCATTGTTTTTAAATAAAAACGACCAGATTTTGCTGTGCTTGATGACAATTTTTATTTGATTTTTTATTCAATGCAAATTATTATTGAACAATTTGATTTGTTTTTTTTTTTTGCTGTGTCAAGTTTTCAAGTGTTCTTCCTTATCTACACACAAGCAATTCGCGCGAGAAACTGGGGAATATTTGCTGCTATACGGAATAAATATAGAACACTCTGTATTGGAGTAGACGTGTGTGCGTTCACTCCAGTTCAGTGCGGTTGTCAAACTCAAGCTTGCTAGTGACTCAGTAGTGGAGTAATGTCAATACGTTTATTCCAGTGTGGCGCAAACCAGCGTTCTATGGAATAAATGTAAATATGTCTTTTTTCCCTACTGAGTGACTACCAAGCTTGCGCATGTGTTGGTAAGTTTAACAACCGCTCTGAATTGGAGTGAACGCACACACGTCTACTCCAATACATAGTTTTCTATGTTTATTTCGTTTATGAGTAAATATTCCCCAGTTTCTCGCGCGAATTACTTGTGTGTATAGTATACATGTATACAGAGCTACTTATGACTTTTCTTGTGTTTGTTGAGATTTGACATTTGCGAGAAGCATTTTGTACATATTTCACATGGGAATGGCTTCTCGCCAGTATGAATTCGCATGTGAATATTCAGCTTTTCTTTTTGATTGGTTGTGTAGATCTTGCACAGATCGCATTGGTATCCGCGTCGCTTGCAATCGACTTCATGAATTTCCTTTTCCATTTGTTGTGCGAAAATCTTGAAGCAACGCGAACACTTGATTTTCAACGGACGAACATTGATCGCATTGAAATGGTCTCTCACCGGTATGCACGCGCAGGTGTGCTTTCAAACTCGATTGATGCGAAGTAGAGAGTTCCTTGCACAGATGACATTCGTAACGACGAACCTTGCAATCGGTTTCATGTTCCACCTTCTCCTCGCTGCGGTGAAATCCTTTCCAACAGATCGAACAACTGAACAGATATTCATCAACATGTAATTTCATGTGCGCTTGGAGCATTGGCTTATACGTGAATTTTTTCAGGCAAACGCTACATGAATGTGGTCGTTCGCCAGTGTGTTGAAGCATATGCCTTTTTAGAGTGAATTTACTGTCAGTGTCATAATCGCACGATGAACACTTGTGTCGTTTTCTATTTGCTTTGCCTCCAGTCGGTTCCTTCCTGTTATGAACCGTGTTTGCTTCGCTTTTCTTGCTAACTTTGGCTGCACCTTTCTGTACACCACCATTCAACCCAGTTGT